ATTTCAAAATCATATTCTACAAAGAAAGTTTGCCATCTATTTAACCTTCTATATTCTGGTGTTAAAGGTAATTTATTAAAAATAAATCCCTTAACTTAAGTATTGTCATTTCTAACCTTAAAATGTTTTGGTAATAAGAAGAAACTGAACTTTTTTATTCCATTTTTAATAACCAATAATTCTTTATAATTCGAATGATATCTTGTTTCTACATCTTTAAATGTACCACTAGAATATCTACAAACTTTTTCTTGAGAATTTTTTAAAGTGGCTCCCCAATAAAAATCTGAGGTATCACATTCTAAAATTAACTCTTCATCTTCTTTAGGCAATTGTAACCTAGGAAGGTTTTTGCAATAATCTTTTATTCTTTTCACATGATTAATGTGATAAATTTCCCATTGTTTATTTTCCTTTTTCCTGAGCAACTTTGCAAAAGATGTCTTAATTGAGCTGGGTTTTGAATAAACTGTTCTGCATAATTGAGTATTCCTAAAAACCTTTGAGTTTTTTCTTTAGATTCTAGTTTATCTAGGAACATCGAAATCTTTTCACTAATGTGAGGTTGTAATTCTATTTTTGTGGAATCTATTGTTAATCCAAGGAATTCAATTTTGGTTTTTCATATCTCTGCTTTCTTGTCAAAGAGTAATATTCCATGTTTCTTGCAAATATGCCAATTTCTTAAAATAACACAAATGTTCTTTCTTATTATTAGACAAGATATGTCATCTACATAAACTATACAAAATTTCTTGATGGAAGAAAATGCATTATCCATCTATCCATCCTTCTTTGAAATATTTGAGTTGCATTTTTTAATCCAAAAGGCATTACTAACCACTCGTAGTGTTCTGTAGGGGCATTAAGGGCTATTAGTGGGATACTATCAGGAGTTAGTTTAATTTGCCAAAATCCTTATTTGCAATCAAACTTTGAATACATATTCTTTCCCCTAATGCTATTGATTAGAGTTTCTTTATATGGTATAAACTAACCATCAAATTTACTTTTGCTATTAAGTTGTTTATAATTGACAACCATTCTAGCTTTTCCTCTTTTTAATTCATTATAATTTCTTACCATAAAGCCAGGACTGCTATACGGACTCTTTGAGACATGTATAATTTTCTAGGCTATTAAGTCTTGAATTTGTTTATCAAATTCTTCTCTATCTTTAAGGCTATATCTTATTGGTTTGACTCTAATGATAGTTTTTGGGTTTATCCATTCGATAGTAGTGTAAGTTTTATCAATCCCCCATAGTTTTGTAGGATCTTCTCCATAATTACTTCTTAATTCTTCTTAAATAGATTCTAGGGTTATTTCTTCTTGTATTTTTTTCATTATCCCATAATGCTAACATTGGTTTTTTAATCTCTTTTGATCAAATTTTTCTATTATTCTCACCACGTTGGCTATAAAAATTTAATGGTTTTATTATTCCGGTGTAAGCATTATAAATTCTAGAGGCGTAAAGCCAATGTCCACAAGGTGTAGAAAATTTTACATATAATGCAGTTTGAACATACTACTTGAATTGACTTAGGAAATTGTTTCCTAATAGAATATCATTCTCATGTTTGTTACTTTCATAGACTCAGGGAATTATAACTTCAGTTCCACCAATTATGGCAGCAACTCTTTTTATTATTGTTTTATATTGAATAATACTTCCATCTATGGCCACAACTTTCATAGTTTGAGAGGTATTCTTCCAATAATATTTTGGAAATACATTGATTTTTGCCAAGCATATCCCACATCCTGTATCTATAAAAGCATGA